TTTGATCAAGATCCATGTCTAAATGTGTATGAAAGTAAAATCACATTGGTAAAATTTTAGTCCTTATTCAAAGGATAGAATTCTGAAAGTCGTTTGCTTCTTTTTCCAATTTGATCTGTCATCGTGTATCTTACGAGTTTGTAATTTAGTGGAAAGTCATACGATATCATGCATGGTCACGTAGATTACATTGTATTTTTGTGTTTACGTTTTAATCATAATTTTGATTTAGTCTCTTATCAATCAAAGACTCCGGAAGAAGTAACAAGAAGTCCAACAAGTATTATCAGCTGCACTTCGGAGAAAAAACCCTATTTGTTTTTCATTAAAAAATAGTACTTCTTAAGCTAATAAATTCCAAATTCATATTCCTCAACTAATGATTTGCAAAAAATCTCAAAAAAAAATTATGGTACTATGGGAATACCTATTCATTATTCATTGTCTGCCAAGTCAGCACCTTATTAAAATTATATGGCATCCACCAATATTAAAATAATTATTTACAAATACAAAATTACAGTGTGAATAAAGGGAGTATGATAGGTACTCTCATAATACCATAAATTTTTCCCCAAAAAAACCCTCACATAATTCCAACAAAACATCACATAGTGAAAGGCGCTCATTTATGATTGACCATCTTTGCTGATAAAATTTATCACAGAGTGGAAAATCAAACATTTTGATCTCAATAAAAGTTGTAATGGGTGTAAATGGTATCTTATCCACTAAATTATATTTTAATAGACGTCCGAATGTAGTTGGGTTTAATTAATTTCATCCAACTTTTAATTTTCTCTAGAACTAAAAAGTTACAATAATTCATTTTCCAAAAAAAAATTACAATAATTTGGTACCATATGGTTACTTTATGCAAGGTTTGACTTTGGAAAAATATATATATATATCTTGAGAAAGCCTAAGGAAAAAAGAAAACAAAATAAGAGACGTAATTGCTTAGGTAATTAATTTAGGAAAAGAGTGAGAAAAAGGGATAATTTCTAGGAATTTTCTTGGCTTCACATCTGACAGAATCTTCAATTCAACCAACAACGTTAGCCACCAGACAAAACACACTTGGGAACAATTAGAAAGATTATGTTATATATATATATTGCACTAGATATTAATTTAATTTAATTAAGATTAAGCAACAACATGTGAAGTACACGATTACATGGTTTTTTAGAATAATGTTGGAAAAATCACTCCATGTTACCCAGCTGCCGCGTCCATATTTTTCTCCACAATTTAATGTTAATCATGTTTTACACACATATATATATATTCTTTTTTATTTTATTTTCCGAGTTATGATAGGTATGACTCAAAGTGTTTGTGAGTTGAATTAGATTGTATTTAGAATTTTTTTAAAGACAAGATTGTGTTTAGAGTTGAGTTGGATTTATTTCGAAATTGTTATTTATTTATTTATTTTTGTTCTTTTATATTTGAAAATTTTGATATGTGTATATTACTTTTTGCTTTTTCATTTACAAAAAATGTTTTCAAAACTGTATAAAAGGTTTTTGAAAAATGGAAGAAATGGTTTATTGTTATGTATATTTATTGTTTAATAAATGAGGAAGATTAAAAATGAAATAATAATTTTTAATAATTTACTAAAAAAATATCAATTTTCAAGTTGAACTTTTGTTTTAAATTAATTCAAATTCTAAACTAAAAAATTGAAAGAGTTATAAAACACATTCTTATTTTTTAATCTTTTTGTTTTCTTAGGATATATATATTTTTTCAATATGAATGAAAATGAAAATGTTTCCAAAATTGCGGCCAATCAACAGTTCATGTGTTATTATCCATTAATTTTACGTTTCTCATGTAAAACTTGATTTCCTTGGAATATTAAGACTATGACATATAACTATATAAGTTAATCATATTTTCTAATTTAATAAAAAAAAAGTTATCATTAATTATACATTCTATCCTAAAGGAATAAAGATTTAGAAACTACCTTTTTTGTTTAAATTTTTTATTAGAATTTTGAAAACATTTTTAATATTATACTTTCAATTGCCTTGGAATATTAAGACTATGATATATAACTAGGTTATCATTAATTTCTTTACCAAAAGAAAAAAATATATATCATTAGTTTCACCTTCTATCTAACAGAATAAAGATTTAGATATACTACCTTTCTAGTTTTATATTTGGACTAGAATTTTGAGAACATTTTTAATATTATATTTACAAAAAAAAAATTTAGAAATAAATTAACAAAACAATAGCATTATTGTTATTAAACCAGCACAATTTAAAACAAGAATAAAAGGAGCCAACGTGAGAATACATTAATTTAAATAAAATAGTTTTTCTTTAAGATTTAATCTCACTCTATATTTAGAAAAAGAACTTAATATATTTAGCTTATTTAAGGCATATTTTTATCACTGGCTAATTCAAGCTATTAAAAAATTTCATCACTCCTATTTCTAAAAAAAAAAAAAAAAAATTCATCACTCTTAATTACTTTTTATTTTTAGTTTTTGTTGAGTTTAAACAGCGTAGATATTTGAATCTACGAACTTTGAGACGGATTATACACATACTTAAAAAGTTACCTCAACCTTAGAAATGGTGAAAAAATTCACCAAAATAGTAAGATATCTTACTTAAAGAACAAAAAGAAATTTAACTAAAAAAAAATCCTAAAATGAATTTTTTTTCAAGAAATTTGAGAAACGCGTCTCACTAATTAATCTAAGAGAGGAAAAAATGGTCAATTTGAACCCAAAAAAACACCAAATATATTTACATCCAAGACAAATTCTTCCATCTAATTCAAACCCTGCAAAAAAGTCATCTTAACTCACCATTAAAAGAGATGAAAAAAATATATAAGAAAACTAACTTCGAAACAAGAAATCTAACTCGTTCCAGCTAAAACAAATTCTTCTACCTAATTTCAAATTATTTGAGAAGGTCATCTCACTAAACATTAATTTATATGTATGAGACGAGTAAACAAAAATACGATGCAAAATCAAAAGTCAATCGAACAGTCTTAAAAATTAGTAAAAAGGAAAAAAAAATTACTTAATCTAAGCCGTTCCAGAAGGTCATCTCACTGCACATTAAATTATATGTATTAGAAAAAAGAAACACAAAGCTAGCCATCTCACTAAACATAAGTTATGTGTATAAAAAAAATGAAACAAACAATATCTACAAGATCATCTCACTAAACATAAGTTATGTGTATAAAAAAAATGAAACAAACAATATCTACGAGATCATCTCACTAAACATTAAATTTAATGTATTAAAGAAAAAATGATTATAAAAGGTTTAGATATGTCACTAAACATTATATGTATCAAGAAGAAAGTAACAAACGATTCTAGAAGCTGATCATATTAAACAGTATCGTACATGTATTAAGGAAAAAAAATGTCTTGAAGCCAGAAGTCAAATAAAAAATCTTTAAAAAAAATGATATATACTTAATTCAAGCCATTTGAAAAGGTCACCTCACTAATCATTAAATTATACGTATTCTAACATCGATCAAGGTTATCATTTCACTCATCATTAGGTTAAATTATACATATTGGAACATATACAACGCAGGAGGTCGAGATCGGAAAATCGTAGGATAAAAAAAATCAAAGTAAATCTCAAGGCTGCGACTTCAATTACACGTCCAAAACCCTAAATGGTTCTTGAACTAAATTATGACCATATCAAAGGATTGGTAATGATTCTAAAGCTTCACATTTCCCCTTCTTCACACTGATCATATTCATGCATGTCACCTAATTACAACACTATTGGATGTCTTTGTCTTGCCCATTCTTTATTTTATTTTTCATCAAATCCTTCCATTCACATTCAATTATCAATATTCGGTTCAATCCGATAATCAATTAACAATGAGAGGTGTAGTCTATATTGAGATCCTTACCATGTCTGGCTCATCGATCTTGGTCGGATCCCATTTTGGACCGGATATGCTCGTTTTAACTTTTGGACTCTTATACCATATCAATATTCATGAGATTTCATCTCAAAACCAATTGACAATTTTTAATAAGTATTTTTGTTTCTTTATTCTTATAATATACATTCTAATCAAATCCAATAAAAGAATGGTTGGATTAGTGTGTGTGTGTGGTAAGTAAAAATAATTAGAGGAATCCAAAAAGAAAACTGATTATAAAAAAAAAAAAAAAAACCCTAGTAATTTTAAGGTCTTTTTAATAACAATTTTGATTTTTCAACTTAAGCAATAGTTCATCAATAAATACATATAACTAGATGTCAGAGGTTAAAATCCATACCTCACATTTTTACTGTAAAGAAAAATAATCTAATTGAGTCGTTAAGTTGGTAGTAATTTCTTATGTTAGGTTTTTAAGTTGTTGAGTTTTGTGGAATATTAACTTATTCTTTTTAGACTAATCTAATGTACAATAGTTGTAATTTACTGAAATAATTGCATAAAGCTCCCATTTTTAAGATGTTGATGACCTTAACTAAAAAAATCTTCAATGATAGAACAAACTAAAAAAATACACTCAATTTTTATAACCAAAAGAAAATGTCAAGGGGTTAAGTTTTATTGTTGCGAAAAATCACTGCCAACGTTTTTTTTTCTATCTTTTTTCGACGTTTTAAAGTGTTGAGAAAAATTCAAATTCTTGTAGTGAGTGACGGAAAAAGTAGTTCCATAGTTCCATAGAGAATTAAATAAGAGATGATGTCGAGTAAAACATAGTGTAAATAAATTAGTTTTCATTTGAATTTCTTGATTGTTTCTTTATTTCGTTTATACATCATATGAAATTTTGCCTCCCTAATTTTTCCAAGAGGCCAATTCCCTCAACAATAAGAAAACAAATGATCCAAAAAAATGTACAACTTTTGTTGCTATGATATATCTCTATCAAGCTCTCCTCTACCTGAGGGGGAAAAAATAGTCAAAGGCTGAGGGAGTTTTTTGTTTCTTTTGTTTCAAAACCCTAAAAATATCAACACCCATTTCTTGAATTTTTTTTCTCAAAATCTTTATTCTCTTTGTGACCTAATTTTGTGATTGGCTCAAGTATCTCACTCTATTGCTCCCCTGATTCCGCCGTGGAAACATGTTCAAGCTCTGAGCATTACTGCAAAAAAACTCCATAGCCCTATTGATGAAATCCCCACCACTGTTGTTCTTTCTAATAATTCTCCCATTTTCTTCTTCTTGTTCTTCCTCTTTTGGACTCCTCAACAAGCTTATGTAAGTCTCCAAATCATGAACACAAGAAGGGTTTTGCATGTTGAAGAAATCAAGAACCAATTCCACTCCAACATGTTCATAGCTATTGTTTCCACCTCCATTCAAGAGCCCTCCAAAAACCCTAAAATTTTCATTGAATAAAACTCCTGGCATCTTGGTTATTGGGTCATTCACGTTCACAATTCTCAAAACTTTGACTCCCAATTCCTCACATCTTTGTTTGAAGCCTGAATTTCCCACTCTTGGCCCTCCAAAGGAGAACACTGAAACGGGAACCACTTCTTTGTTGTTCACTCTTCTGTTCAATCCTAGCTCGGCTATGTCATAGGCTAGAAGAACAGCCAATGCACTCCCCATGCTGTGCCCTGCCATTGTTATGCTCACTTCTTCGTTTTTGTACTTGTTCAACAGCCTCGAGACCTCCGAGAGTAGCTGCTCCCGGCAGCTCTCGAGCCCGAACTTGATGCTTGTCTCTTCTGAGGTGTAAAGGGTCAAGAACCCAGATTCCACCTGAAAAAACGATCAAATTTACCTTAAGCTATCAGTTTTTATGGTGTTGGAATTGTGTGATTATTTCTACCCTAATTATGGGTCATGTGCAAATATAAATAAAAAAGATTTAAATTAATTTCTCCTAAATTTCTAATAAGAAATCTTGTGTTGCTTCCAATTGATGTTTGATCCCGAAAGAGAATAAAGGGATCTTCGTAGAGTGGATTTTTAACACTTTCTTTAGTTATCCATCAGGTTTGTTTATTTTTAATTGTTGTTTCAATTTTTCATTCCCAATTGAGATATATTAATAGTGATTTGTTGGGTCTTGTGCTGATTTTTCGACACGGGTGTAAATGAAAAGATCGAAATATAAGCGTTTGAGTTTAGTGTTTTCGATTTACAAACCTTGACGTCGGGGCGTTGGTTGTGGGGATCGAGGCGGGCGGGTGTTAGAGAGCTCATGAGGTTGGCGATCCATTCGGAGTTGGTGACGGTCCCACGGAAGGTGATGACGATGTCTCGTCGGCCGAGGCTCTTGCTGGTCTCATCGGAGGAGACGGCAACGTACCCGATCCACCGCCCGCAACACGGCGGCGAGTTTTGGATGGGAGGAAT